GCCCTCCCACTGTTGCCCCCCCAAGCACCAAGAAGACAGAGCATCACTTGCCCCAGCCTGAGAGTCCCTATCTATACCTTGTGGCTAATAGCCACCGATGGACCTCTGCTCCATATGTTTATCCAGTTCCCTCTTGAAGCCGTCCATGCTTGTAGCTGCCACCACTTCCTGTGGCAGTGAATGCCATGTGTTCATCACTCTTTGGGTGAAGAAGCGCTTCCTTTTATCTGTTCTAACCCGACTGCCCAGCGATTTCATGGAGTGCCCACGAGGGCACTACTTAGCCTGAGAATCTCGTAGAAAGCTGTCCTTCATAAATAAAGTGCGATGTAAAAAGTATGTCTGCCCTTTGCTAGAGACCTGCTTCTGTGTAGACGGGGCCCTGGCTTTTAGGTGTGCTGGAAGTGGGGGGGGGACGCGGAACCGGCCGCTCACCGAAGGTCAGGAGGAATCCGTAGAGCATGCTGAGTACCCAGGAGTACCAGCCTTTGTGTTCCATGTAGAGGAGGCTGTACACGGCGTAACAACCCAGGAGCGGGAAGAGGATCCAGGAGAGATACCGGAAAGCCATCTGTGGGGAAGAGAGACAGGCTCAAAGGGGAACAGCAGACACCTTCCCAGGAATGACGGGATGCTTGGGTCCGCACGGACAGATGGGCATCAGGAGAGTTTCACTCTCACCTGCTTCTTGGCGGTCATTGTTTCCCCCCACTCTCTGATACCAAGCGGGGGTGTGACGTCCTTGCTTATTGGGGAGACTGTTTCTCCTTTAAACCACACTCTGTGTACATGAACTGGGTAGATTTCTGCTGCCGCCAGGAATTAAAAATTCCAGCTCTCTCTATTTTGGTAGAATGACCGAGGGTCTGGGCCCTTCAGAGGACTATGTGGCCCTGAGGAAGGACTATTCTGATTTCTGGGATAAGTTTAAACAAAAAATGATTTATTTAATAAAGAACAAAATAGGTTTCTGGTTATTTTGAACTGCTGCTGATGAAAGGAACTTGTAAATATAACTGGCAAAGCTTGGTGCTACAAACAGTCTCTCAACCTCCCAAAACTCCACTCTGACAGGTGTAGGCAGTCTAATCTCTCTCTCATCTATATAGCCACACAGGCTGAACTCTTTGTCTTATTCACACAGAATAGACTCATATTCACACAGACTAAACTGTTTGTCTTTTTTACACAGAATAGACTCAAAAACTCCCATAGTCACACAGACTATGCTCTCTCTTCAAACGTCACACACAGAATCCTCTCATAGACACCTCTCCTCCAACACTCTCAGTACTCAGCCAATCACATCACACTTGTCTCCCTCTATCACGCTTCTTATAGTACTGCAGTCAGACTAAACATTTAAAGAAACACACACCGAAAATGGAATCATTACAGCAGGCTACTGGTTTCTGCAAATCACGGGCATGGGGAAGAACCATTCTTCCCTGCCGGGGCCCGAGAGCGGTCCCACTACTCACGTCGTCGTAGACTTTGGTGGACGATTCGATGTACGTCGATTTGTCTTTGAAGGTGAGGCGTGGAAAGATCCCTGCGACTTTGTTCTCTCGGTCCAGCTGTTTAGCGTCGTCCAGAAAAAGAGGGGGGGGGGCGGAGAGGAAGGAGAAGGGGGAGGGGAGAGAGGAAAGGCATCAGACGGTTAACTGAGGCGAGGAAACGGTTTAGCGGGGCAAGGCAGCTGGCTCACAGTGAAGGAGCCGGGCCATGTGTTCAAAGGGGGGGGGGGGTGACTCAAGGAAACGCCCGTCCCAAGATTGTGGCTCCGGGGGGAAAAAAAAAAAGCTTAAGAAGAAGAAGAAGAAGATTGGGTTGATACCCTGCCCTTCACTCGGAGTCTCAGAGCGGCTCACAATCTCCTTTTGTGATATATCTTTTGTGATATATTAAGAGACGATACTTAGATGTTTTGATATATGATTCTTTCTATGTATTAAGGCTTATAGGATAAATAATATATGGTGAATAAATTGTAGAAATATAAAACAAAAAAATATAATAAAATATTTGAGATATTTTATCATCGTCTGTAGCACGGAATTTGCTGATTTTTGGTATTCCCTACTTACCGTGGGTCCTATTTTGGTTTTGTGAATTACATATACCTAGAGCAATGCAGACAAGCTGTGGAGTCCTGTGAGCAAAAATGCGATTTTGTGAGCTGCTGGCGTTAAAGTTGTGAGCGAGTGATTTGGCTACTGCATAAATTACTTTGCTCTGGGGCCCTCCTTCCTGAGCTAAGACAAAAATGTGTGAGCCGGAGGCTAAAAAACTGTAAGCTCTCTCACACTAACTCAGCATAGAGGGAACACGGACCTAGAGAGGAGGGGGTTAGTTGCCACTGGACCCAAACTTAGTTCTCACCTCTGTTTGTTAACGCTTATATTTGCATGCTCATTGGCTGCCATTCACAGGCCTTACCGACTGCTTTAATCCAGTCTCGGCTATACTTACCGCCCAGTTACTTATGCATTTTTGACTCTGAGCCGATTGCCTCTCACTCTACTTATATGTAAGGCTTGAGGAAGTCAGTTTCAGTGTATCTGAAGAAGTGCGTGTGCACACAAAAGCTTATACCCAGAATTAAACTTGGTTAGTCTTAAAGGTGCCCCTGGACTCAGACATGGTTCTTCTGCAGAGGAAGGAAAAGGCAAAATGCCTCTGCGTCTCCCTTGCCTTGAAAGTCCCTTGCTGGGGGAAATTAAAGCAGGGTTGATATGTGAATGGAAGACTACTAAGGAAGACTCCGCAGAGGAAAGCAACGGCCAACCACCAATGCTTCTTCTTTGCCTTAGAAGCCCCTTGCTGGGGTTGCTACTTGGGAGACCACCAAGGAACACTCCGCAGAGGAAAGCAATGGCCAACCACCAATGCTTCTCCCTTGAGAGCCAGTTTGGTGTCGTAGTTAAGTGCGCGGACTCTAATCTGGGAGAACCGGGTTTGATTCCCCACACATCCATTTGCAGCTGCCGGATGACCTTGGGCAAGCCATATTCCTGTCAGTGCTGTCCTTGAGAAAAAGCAGTTTCTGTCAGAGCTCTCTCAGCCCCACTGACCTCACAGGGTGTCTGTTGTGGGGAGGGGACGGGAAAAGGAGTTTGTAAGCCGTTCTGAGACTCCTCTGGGTAGCGAAGGGCGGGGTAAAAATCCAATCTCTTCTTCTTGTCTTAAAAGTCCCTTGCTGGGGTGGCTACATGTTCTTAATAATTTTATTTTCCATTTTCCATTATACATTTCGACTTTAAGATAACAGAAAAGATAAGAGCCCCGTTTTCATTCATATTTCTTACCCAGTTACATGCCCTATTCCATCCTTTGCTTTGCACAGTCTTGTTTTCACCTCGGAGCATTAGACTCAAGTCCTCCATCTGCGCAAGAGCTAACCGTTTTACCATTAAGTCCTCTTTTGAGGGAATTTTATCCCGTTGGAAGGGAGGCCGCCAAGGAAGGCTCCGCGGAGGAAGGCAACGGCCAACCACCGAGGCTTCTCTCCACCGTGAAGGCCCCTTGCTGGGGCTGCCGTAAGCAGTTGAGACTTGACGGCGTGCGCGCTGGGCGGAACTGCGGAGGCCACAGGCGCTCCGAGGGGCCACGCCCGCGGGGCTCTTACCCTGACGTCCATGACCTTGGTGATCTTCCAGAGGTCGATCAGCAGCCCGATGAAGACGCTCACTTGCACCACAAAGTTGGTCTCGTTGTCCAGGATGTAGAGCAGGACCACCAGCGACTGGAATACCCCGAAGAACACCGAGCGGACGGAGAGCCCTTCGAGGGACTGCCTGCTGTTCCAGAACTGGATGTCTGAGGGAGGAAGAGGGGAGACGAGGTATAAAAATGAGTAGAAGAACAGAAGAAGATTGGATGTATACCCCGCCCTTCACTACCCGAAGGAGCCTCGGAGCGGCTTACCATCTCCTTTCCCTTCCCCTCCCCACAACAGACACCCTGTGAGGTCGGTGGGGCTGAGAGGGCTCTCTCGAGGACTGCTCCTGAGAGAACAGCTCTGAGAGAACTTGTGACTGACCCAAGGTCACCCAGCAGCTGCATGCGGAGGGGTGGGGAATCAAACCCGGTTCTCTCAGATTAGAGTCCACGCTCCTAACCACGACACCAAACTGACCCTGACCCTTCAGTACTATGGCAAGCAGCTCTCTGTTGGGACCAGAGAAGGCTGCTGGCTGGATCGATACTCGGCCAGCGGACGCCAAATGTGGCTTGCAGCTCCGACCCCAGCTCTGGTCTTAAACCAGGGCAGATTAAAAAAAAATGGAAGGGGTGGAAGAAAGAGATCTCCGACTCACCGTTTTTGAAAGCAAGGAATTCAAAAATGCTGTGCACAATGGAGACTATAATGGTCAAAGCCAGCAAGTAGGGATTGGTTTCCAAGAGAGCAACCTTGGGGAAGGGGGGGGAGAAAGAGGAAGGGAACGGGGTGTCAAAGGAGAAGAAGAAGAAGAGATTGGATTTATACCCCGCCCTTCACTCGGAGTCTCAGAGCGGCTTACAAACTCCTTTCCCTTCCCTTCCCTTCCCCACAACAGACACCCTGTGAGGTAGGTGGGGCTGAGGGAGCTCTCTCGAGGACTGCTCCTGAGAGAACAGCTCTGAGAGAACTTGTGACTGACCCAAGGTCACCCAGCAGCTGCAGGTGGAGGAGTGGGGAATCAAACCTAGTTCTCCCAGATTGGACTCCTCGCTCCTAACCACTACACCAGACTGAGAAGATGAGAGTCACTGGAAAAGATAATCATGCTAGGAAAAGTTGAAGGCAACAGAGAAAGAGGAAGGCTTAACATGAGACCAATCGACTCAATAAAAGAAGCCACGGCCCCCTCCGTTTGCCAGACCTGAGAATGGCTGCTAACGACAGGACATTTTGGAGAACCTTAATTCATAGGGTCCCCATAAGTCGGCAGCAACTTTGACGGCATTTAACACACACACACATCCAACCTGCATATGGCTCTGGGTACTTCCAACTGGAAAACGTGGCTAAAAATGTGATGCATGCATAAATTCAAAGAAGGATAACATGTAAAGGTTTCCCTTGCTCGAAAGCCAGTCAATTCCGACTCTAGGGTTGCGGTGCTCATCTCCGCTTCCAAGCCGAAGAGACAGAGCTGTCCGGAGACTTCTCTGTGGTCACGTGGCCGGCATGACTAGACGCCGAGGCGCACGGAACGCCGTCACCTTCCCACCGAAGCGGTACCTATTTATCTACTTGCGATTTCTTACTTTAAAACTGCCAGGCTGGCGGGATCTGGGGCCAGAGACGGGAGCTCACTCCCGTCACGCGGCAATCGGGTCCCAAACTGCCGAACTACAGACCTTCCGCTCTGCTGCTCGGCGTCTTAACCTCTGAGCCACCGCGGCCCCAAGGAGAACATGACACAGGCAGCGTTCCCTCTAAGCTGAGTTAGTGTGAGGTAGCTCACAGATTTTTAGCCTCCGGCTCACACATTTTTGTCTTAGCTCAGGAAGGATGGTTCCAGAGCAAACTAACTTATGCAGTAGCCAAATCGCTCGCTCACATCTTTAATGCCAGCAACTCACAAAGTAGCATTTTTGCTCACAAGACTGCACAGCTTGGAGGGAGCATTGGACACAGGAATGATTTGCGCTACGCTAACTTGGGCATCTGCCCTGATGCGCTTCTGCGTGCCCGACGACCCTCCGCAGGGGGCGCCTCCTTCCCCTCTGGTGGGCCGAAGTGCCGTGGGGCGAGTGGGGGGGGGGAGCCCTCTGCCCTCTGCTCACCTTGACGGAGTCCTGCTCCTCGTCGGACTGCTCGTACAGGTCCTCGCCCAGGAAGTTCCAGGGGGACTTGGTGCTCTGGGCGGCGTACAGCTGCCAGCGCCAGAGCGACAGCGGGCAGTAGGAGAGGCGGAGGGGCAGGCGCTCCAACGTCTCGTTGATAGGGAAGTAGTCCTTCTGCAGGTTCCAGTAGTCGTTGAAGTACAGGATGGGGTAGTAGTCGCCGCTCACCGCGTCAAACTTCACATCTGCGGCAGGAGGAGAAGAAGAACAACGGATGGCGCCCGTGGTCGTACACAATAAAACGAGCGACACGGATCGGCCGGGGTTTCCGATTGAGAAGTGAAGAAGAGATTGGATTTATACCCCGCCCTTCGCTTGGAGCCAGTGTTCCCTCTAAGCTGAGTTAGTGGGAGCTAGCTCACAGTTTTTTAGCCTCCGGCTCACACATTTTTGTCTCTGCTCAGGAAGGGATGGCTCCAGAACACACTAATTTATGCAGTAGCCAAATCGCCTGCTCACAACTTTAATGCCGGTAGCTCACAAAGTAGAGTTTTTGATCACAGGACTCTACAGCTTAGAGGGAACATTGCTTGGAGCCTCAGAGCGGTTTACAATCTCCTTTCCTTTCCTGCCCCACGACAGACACCCTGTGAGGTAGGCGGGCCCGAGAGAGCTCTTTCGAGAACTGCTGGTGAGAGAACAGCTCTGAGAGAGCTTGTGACTGACCCAAGGTCGCACCAGCAGCTGCATGTGGAGGAGTGGGGGAATCAAACCTGGTTCTGCCAGATTTAGAGTCCGCGCTCCTTAACCACTACACCAAACTGGCTCTCTTAATCATGTTTGCTTCCTTCTTAGGACAAAAAAGTAATAATAATCTGGCATTTGTTATTATCTTGAGTGGAGGGTTGAACCTCAACAGTGTCACTGACAAATCAGAATTCTGAAAAGAAGAAGAAGAAGAAGAAGAGATTGGATTTATACCCCGCCCTTCACTACCGAAAGGTGTCTTAGAGCGGCTTACAAAGTCCTTTCCCTTCCCCTCCCCACAGCAGACCCCCTGTGAGGGAGGTGTGGCTGAGAAAGCTCTGGCAGAAACTGCTCTTTTTCAAGGACAGCTCTTATCAGAACTAGGGCTTGCCCACGGTCATCCA